GGGGGTCAGGCTAGATGATCTGTTCAGGTCCCTCCTGACCCTAGCTACTATGAAACTATGAATAAACAGCAGTTTTTTGAGGCCCTTATGAAATACATAAAACACTTGTGGAATGGTAGACCCCATAGTGCTATCTAATTATAGTGTTGCAATTGGCACTTTTCTCAATGACCTAGAACAGCGGTTATATTGTGCACCACCAATTTTAAATGATACAGCCTTAAGTACCACCAGCAAATTTTTCATACACAAAGGTAACAGACTACGTATTAAAACAACATGAAAAGCTTTAGTAATCATAAAACATCATATTATCAGTTACGGTAGCCATACAAGACACTTGTAAATTAAAACAAAGACAGTGTAAACTTACTAGTCCAGAGATGCTTTTTGGGATGTTTAGTGAGAGAGGTGAGAGACACAGACAGACACATGCACAGATGCACGTGCCCAGAAGGTAAGTCTGTGGAGGGGCAGGGGAGGGGGGCAGATCAAGGTCACCATGGTGAGGGAGGGAGTGGGACAGGGGCAGGGAAAAATGAGACCTGGGGCTGGTCATGGGACGGAGCCATGGGAGGCTCATCCAGGGGCGCAGGGGGGCTCCCACTACTGCACACACCCTAGGGGAGGCATGCAGGGCACATGCCCCCCAGATTTGAACACAGGGCGGAGGAGGGCTGCCCGCTGAGCTCTGAGCCCCACTGCCCTTGCCTCAGAAGCCATGCGCGACGCTATGTGCCTCCCACCTCCAAATGGGCAGGGAACATGGTGCAGCCAGCATGCAGGAGGCACATGGCGTCACGCGTGGCTCCTGAGACAATGGCAGTGGGGCACAGAGCCCAGCACACAACAGGCAGCCTCCTCTGCCCAGCGCACAAATCCTGGGGGCACGTGCCGCCCATGCCTCCCGGGGTGTGCACAATGGTGGAGAGCCCCCCATGCCCCTGGATGAGTCACCTAGGGCTCTGACCATCCTACTACCCTCCCTGGGACTCCATTCACCCCAGCCCCTGCCTCTGTCTATGTCTCTGCCCCACTCTCTCTCTTACCATGGGGGCCTCGATCTGCCCCCCTGCCCCTTCCCCTCCCCACTGAGCACTGCTCAATACATGGCCAGGCTGCGTTCCTGACCACCCGCAGCAGGCTGCGGCCAGATGCCTGTGTGCACCCTTCCCCGCCGGCCTTCTACTGCCTATGCATGTACTACACACGGGTTGTCTGCGTACCACTGGTGGCATGTGTACCAGTTTGGGAACAACTGACCTAGAATGTACTTGGTCACAGGATCCAGGAATTAAATAGACCTACTGAATGAACTACTTCCTCATCTCAAACCCTGAGTTTATTTTAGGGCAGTGTTATACATTACACTGTGAACTGCTCATATATTCCAGCCCTAGTGTTAATGCTAGCTCAAATTTGGAGTAGTCACATGTTCAGGCCAGCAGGGGCCTGGAGGACTAAAAGGTAAGAATCCCTCCTCATCCCATTCCAGGCTTCTCCCCTGCCCCCGGGGCTCCCTCTCACCCCTCCCACTTACTTATGGCTGCCTGTATTGTCTGTCCCACAGGAACAGGCAGGGAAGGGTTAACCTGTCTGCCCAGTCCCCACTGCTTCTGAGCAGCTGCTCTTCTCCCAGACAGCAGGCAGGTTAGGTTAACCCTCCTCTGCCTGCTCTCCCAGGACAGAGTGCAAGCAGCTACAAGTGGGGGGGGGCAGGCAGTGAGCAGGGACCTGCAGCGTTGTGAAGGGGGCAGAGGGAGCAGTGGGCTGGAGCCAGGCCGGTGGGGGAGGGAGACAGTTGAGGTGTGTACACTAAAGTGTAGCCTAGAGCTTCTCCACATTTCAGCTTCTCCACACTGTCTGTTAGAAGTAACAGCCACTGCCAGAATATCTATCATGTAAAGTTACCTTTGTTGGCCTATTGAAGAGACAGGCACCACCACCTCGATTTAAAAATTCTTTGTATTCTGCAATGCTGCACTTAGAAAATTTTCTGGAATGGAAGACCCTAAAATGACAAACAAGCAAGTGAGCAAATACCCCTCTGTATAGCCAGGTACTTGAGAAAAAAGTTAGTCTTCCTTTGTTCTGTAAATGTTGATGGTTACCATATTTATTCAAATCAAAGACAAGGTGGAGAGGGAAGTCTCCTTTTAACATGGGGGCCTCAATGTTCCCCTTTTAACATGGTGGAGAGGGAAGTCTCTCTTCTTGGATTCCATTACAATGTTGGGGGCGCCTCCAACTCTACAGCTGTTGCCTCACTCCCACCTCTGTCCCAACCCTCAACCTGGCTCCCCATCATCTCCACCTTTGTCACTGCCTTCCCCCCTCACTCCCTCTCAGGATCTTCCCTGCCACCTCATCCTGTCCCTACTTATCCTCCAGCTCTAACAGGGCTCCAGCCCAGGGTATAAAACACGTGATTGCTCTGGCCTGAGCCAAGCCCAGCAGCAAAGCTGGCAGCAGCTCTAGCCCAGGCTCCAGCTCCAGGCCCTGGTCAGAGCTGCTGCATGGCTGGGCTGGGGCTGGAGCAACTACATGCTCCATGCCCCAGGTTGGAGAGGGGCTGGAGCTGGAGCCAAAGGGTAAGTGGTAATGGGACACAGATGCTGCAGGGGGTAGGAGTAGCAGGGGGAGAGACAGTCAGCAGGGGGACCAGGCACTAGGGGATGAAAGGCAGGGAGGCAAGTGGTAGCAGGGGGTATAATGGGCACAGCTGTTGGGGTGCACAAGCACAAGGCTCGAGGGAGACAGGCAGCAGAGGGGAACAAGTGGTGGGCAGACAGGCAGCAGGGGACAAGGAGTGGTTGGAGCAAAGGGCAGGACTGTGGTCACTTGAATCCCCCGCATCTGCCTTCCTACTCTCTCCTCCAGTGCCTGTCCCCCACCTGTCTCTCTACTTTCCCAATCACCTGCCACCCTCACCCCCAATCTGTCCCCCTGTCACTGCTTTCCCTGCTGCAGTGGTAGGAGGATGAATTTTAGACAGCCCTTCAATAATCAGATACTATACATGGAAAACTATAATACATTTATAAATTGTTCATGTACAGAAGCTAAATATTTGGGGGTCATCTTAAATTCAGTCAGTTTAGATTTGGGTAAATACAGTAGTTACAACAGCTATATAGAACAAGAAGGGCAATGTGATCAGCTCAGGGGAAGCCTTTCACCTTTGAGGGGAAAATACCCACAGATTCAATGTAGTCTTGTATTTCTGAAAACTGCATATCTCTATTATATGAATGTATGGTAAGGATGTAACTGTATTCCTATAATATTTTTACTAACATAACACTGAGACGGAAGATGGAGAAACTTCTTATGGTACACATATATCCAGTGAAGATGGCAGGGTAGGGTGGTACCTCAGAGACTAACTGGTTCCAAGAGGCATAAACTTTTGTAGGTGAAGTGAGGTGAAGGAGAGAGCGGGGCCAGAGTCTTACCTGCCCCAGCAATCCTCACTCAAATATATCTAAACTGTTGCTCCTTTGCTGTTTGCTGCAAAGATAATATTCACCTTGAAGCTAAAACTGAGACCTAAGCAGAGGCAACTTTAAGGTGCAACAAAGTTTGGGGCATAATTTTAAAGTAGTATAATAAGAAACAACTGCAATTTTTCTTTCTTTTTCTTTTTTTTTTTTTTAAGGAAAACAAATGTAATCTGCATTCAGAAAATGACCATAGAACTATCTTGGGCATTATATTCAAATGCAGTCAATTTAAGATTACATAACTTATTTTTTGCATGTGTGGGAGGATCATGTGCAATGGCATAATGGCAACATTTCCTATTTGGGTTACTACATTCTGCCTAAGTTTAGCCAGTAATTTCAGCAATTTTCTTACTTCTTGTCAAAACATCTATGTTACAGGTCATTGTTATATTCCTTAGTTTTTGTCCATTGGATTGTTCAGGACAAATATGTTGATAACGTCTACTACATTTTCATGCAGCTAATTCTGAAACAGATTGATAGTATCCCACAAAAAAAACATTGTACAGACTGATCTCATCTCCATAGATTTCAGTTAACAATTATTACAACATACCCTGTTTCCTCCATGATGCAACCACCCCAGAATTCTACGCAGTCGCATTCTTCTCAGACAAATACAGAAACACAACAGAAAGAAAGCAAGTAGTTATAAATATACCAACATCAAGCATACACTCTTTATATAAATAGGGACCCTGAAGAATATATATGCAAGGTAGGTGGCTGTTTATCATTCAGAATCTAGCCTGAAAACTTATTGGGCCCTGATCTGGCAAACCTCAGTTTTGGTACTTTAATATTCTTGAAAATAATGATATTCATTGCATACATCTACACATGCACTTTACTGCAGAGTTCATAGGCACTGCCTTATTTTTGCAGGGGGTGAGGAGCCTAAGATGATGGACATGTGGACAGCTATACGCATTTCAGGTGAAAGTCATCTTCCTGAGGGAGGGCAGGACACTTGGGCCCCCGCATACTTGGCACCTCTAGCTGAGTTGACTAATTAGCTGTGCAGTAAAGCATCACTGTCTACACGTGCACCAGTATTAGGGCACAGTAAATTAATTAACTCCACAGTAGGAGAGCGCTGTCAAGGACAAGAGTAAGTAACTGTGCTGAAATGTATAGACAGTGTGTAGATCAGGGGTGGGCAATTATTTCAGGTGAAGGGCTGCTTACTGAGTTTTGGCAAGCCATCAAGGGTCACATGACAGGCAACCAGGGGCAGATAAATATTAATTTTCTAAAATTTTTAGGGGCCCTGTGGGCCAGATAGAATGGCCTAGTGGGCCACATCTGGCCTGCAGGCTGCAGTTTGCCCACCCCTGGTGTAGATGGTGACAGGGGCTGGCTGGGGCACAAGGTTGCTAAAGTGTGGGGGCTGCCTGCAGTCTAACCACATGGCTCCACAAATTCTGCACCCTCGTGCTTGAGCCAGCCCCACCAGCACCTGATGTCACCACCTGGAGCCTGGGGCTGACTCCCCGGGCCTCCTGCCAGCCTGGGGCTGCTCAAACTGCTGCAGTTCTGGCACATATACAGATGCTGCACCCAGGAGCAGTTAACAAGCTCTGGAATTTATTGCATCACATTAATTTCACTTGTAGATGCACTCAGTGATACTATCATTGCTATAAGTTAGGTACATCCAAATAATTGTAAATTTTTATTTAACCAACTATATCACAAAAAAGAGGAGGACAGAGGAAAGGCCATGCAGAGTACATACTTGGTTTTCTGGTTGCTGGTTCCCACTGTATTCCAAGGTTCTGAGCCAGACTTTGTGCTAACTCCTGTGCCATGGCCCATGGAAGGCCATACTATATTGAGGAGGGGATAACAGCAAAAGCAGTACACAAAATTAGTTATTGCAACTTGTATTACAACACTTTATTCTGGTTTCCGCAAAACACAGTATTATATACAGTAATATTGTCAGACCATTGTGACTCTCCCCATGCATTTACCAAGGGAAGTAAACACAATCATCAATTACTCTAGTAGAAACCTACAGTTGGAGCAGTTCTGCTCATTAATTGACTATCAAATTTAACCCATATAAATACAATGGATATTTGCACAAATTTAATCCAAATGGAAAAAACTAAATTAATCCAGATCTGGCCTGTAAAATCATTGGATCCATGCAGCTGAAGTGGGGTTTCAGCAGCATTTGTTGGCAGGGGTTCCCCTATACTGCAGTGGGGAAAAATGGCAGCATTGGCAGTGGCTGCATCCTAGCACCTCCCTCCCCACCTCTGATATAAGATGGGTTATTCTACCACATGGCCTGAAAAGGTTGTCACTTGCCTAACCCAGTTCGCATTGCTATCTACAAAAAGTCTACTGAAGTCTTTGGTAGTTGGATCAGTCCCTCAACGCATAACAATTCAACAAGCAGTGTGGAAGTAAAATGGTAAATGTACACTGAAAGTTTTAATGGGGGAAAAATGTTACCTCATTCACTCCAACTCCTCTGGTCACAGAACAAACCCCTCCAAAGTAACTCAAGCTACTTCTTTTGTAGTGAAATGTCACATTCCTTAAGAACAAAAACAAATACAGAAAATATTGCTCATGAAATTTAATGCAGACACCCTTTAGTTATCTGAATGGTCAAACTATGACATAAGGGACCTCCACATTTCCTTTCTATTCGCACTCATTGCACCCCCTAAGATAATTATGATTAGCTTGAAAAAAAGACCACCATGAGTTCACTAAATACAATTTGCAACAAGGATACCACTCATATCAGTTTAGCCTCTCCCTCATCCTACAAACAAAATCAGAAAAAAGAAATGCATCAAATATTATTTTTTTAAATGCAGTGATTTCATTCCTATTATAAGACAAAAACAATGGAAATATTCCAATTTAGTACAGGTTGTCAAAAATAATGTTGCAGTGAAATGTATGTAATCAGTTTAGCCAATTTCCAAAGCGATATACTTACCTAAAATCATGATAATAGTTAATTACATTTTATTCTGGATCTTTTTAATTGAAACTGTTTAAACACTACACAGAATACATTCTTTTTCCCATAGGTGCATACTGACCTCCCGCCTCTTCCCTTAATTAGTTTTTTGATTTATAACAACTGCTATTCATTGAATCATAGAAAATTAGGGTTGGAAGGGACCTCAGAAGATCATCTAGTTCAACCTCCTGCTCAAACAAGACCATTTGAAACTATATCATTCCAGCCAGGGCTTTGTTGAGTAAGGACTTAAAAACTTCCAAGAACAGAGATTCCACCACCTCTCTAGGTAACCCCATTCAGTGCTTTACCACCCTCCTAGTGAGAAAGTTTTTCCTAATATCCAACCTAAACTTCCCTTGCCGCAACTTCAGACCGCTGCTCCTTGTTCTGTCATCTGCCACCACTATCCTCTTTGGAACCACCCTTCAGGTAGTTAAACACTGCTATCAAATCCCCCCCTCAGTCTTTTCTTCTCCAGACTAAATAATCCCAGTTTCCTCAGCCTCTCATAAGTCATGTGCCCCACACCCCTACCCTAGACTCTCTCTAATTTGTCCACATCCTTTCTGTAGTGGAGGGCCCAAAACTGGACACAGTACTCCACATGTGGCCTCACCACTGCAGAATAGAGTGGAATAATTACTTCCCTCAATCTGCTGGCAACACTTCTACTAATGCAGCCCAGTATGCCATTAGCCTTCTTGGCAACAGGGGAACACTGTTGACTCATATTCATCATGATTATGACCTTCTCTAAATGGCATTCATTTTTTTAGATTGTCTAGTAAGCCACAGAAATAAGCTGCATACATTTCCACAATTTTTTTAATCTATACAATTTTATAAAATATCTTAAAATAATCATGGATACTATGTACAATTTTATATCACAACAATACAGTTGATTTGGCCACCAAAAAGGCATAAATACCAAGTGTTCCTAACATGAAAATTATACTTCGGTTGCAAGCGGAGAAATTTTGAGGGCTAAGTCCTTTAAAGCAATCAGGTACTGAGGAATAATGTCATGCTTTGCCCCTTCCCGATGCCTTAAAATACTTTTTTTCCCCTCCAGCTGACTGACAAGAAGGGTTCTGAAAATACCCAACTGCTAGCATTACAAGAAAGGCAAGAAAAAGGGACTCAGTCTCACTCACACAATCACTCGAAGAGAGGGGAAAGAGCAGCACCATGTTTCTTCTCCTTTAGAATCCGTGCACTACTACAAACCTAATGTTTGAAACATCTGAGTGAAAGCTAGATTCTGACTGGATTTCTATATTTTGAGGCAAGGATTCAGCAGTCCTGAGACTGTGGAATCTAGTAAACCTTAGTCAAAATAAATTACACTTCCAATGGCAGATGCCGATTGCTTTAAAAAGATCTAACATATTACAGAATGGAATGCAGTAACAGGGGGCCAAGGCCCCTGGCACTAGCCAGGGATAGCAGGTCCATGTGGCAGGAAGCAGCTGCAGCTGCTGCAGCAGAAGAGAGTAGGCAGGTCTCCAACCTGCAAGTGGAAACCCTTGTGTAGGGCTGGGGAACCACATGACAGGAAGGGGCAGGGCTTCAGGACACAAGCCCAGGCAGGCAGCCTGCCCTTGTTTGTTGCAGGGAGAGGAGTTCCCAGGAAAGAAGGGCTGCTGCATTTAAGACAGGCAGGCACCCAAGCCACGCTGGGGAGCTAGGATGAGAGGCTCCCAAGAAAGGTGTAATGGGCAGTGTTAGGGAGATTTTGTTTTCAAGCACCTTGCTTGTATTTTGAACTTGATACTGGAGGACCGAGTGGCTACAAGAGAGCTGTGGAGGCCACAGAGGGGTGCCTGGATGGATGGTTGAGGACTTAGGGCTCACTTTGTGACCCTGGGACAGCCTCTCTGTACTCCATAAGAAACATCAAGGAAGGCATGGCAGGAAAAATGTCAAAAGGGAGGGTGCCCTAGAGAAGTCAGAGTGGGGTAGGAGTCACTTGGCCACCAAGGGGCATCACAGACACCCTTGGGGCCAGGACTTTGCTACAATGTCTATTACAGAGCAGAAAGTCAGAAGGCAGGGCTGTATGGTACTTCACAGACTAACTCAGAGAAGCACGAGCTTTCATAACTTCTAAACGAGTTAGTCTATAAGGTGTCACTCTGACCTGCCTTCTACTTAGCTTCAAACTAACACAGCTAACTACCTCTTTCTAATTCTGTAAAATAAGGTCTCTTTGGAAGTGGTTAGTATACAAATAGATGACTCTCTAAAATACTTGATTTTCCAAGGACTACCTAATAGTACTTGTTGCTCTTAACTGGTTTTTTTGCAGTACAAGCTATTATTTAAATTATATTATATATTGTGCACGATAGCTTGACTTGAAATATAATGACCATCCTCTGCAATACTGTGCTGAAGACTTGGGTCTCAGTCATTTTCCTGTTATCTTGTTAATGATGATTTCCACAGTAAACATAAACAGCCTGCCCCATGCTGCCATAAACAAATTTTATCAGCCATCACAAACTATCTAAAGCCAGGCCTAGTCATTTTCTGGAGAAAGGACCTTTAAAGAAAAAACTGGAAACATACAAATCTTTTATCCACCAGACTAGCTCTAGAACCTCACCCTGATGATCCGATTACACTTGTATCTGGTTTTTTTCCGCATATTTTTAAATAGTTTTTAAAGGATATTTTATAAAAAGTTTAATGTAATTTGAGAGTTCAATTACACAAATGTCAGGAAATTCAAAGATTCTCACAGCATCCTTCTCCCAAACCTCTTGCATTTGTACTTCACAGTTACAAGAGTCTTATTACATCCGGAAAGATATGAAGGGCATGGTATAGTACGTTTATAAAAGAAATTTAATTCCTAGGTAAGTGCACATAAGTGGCACTTTTATACCTGTAAGTCTTCTGAAATCATGCAGTAACTATCCTGTTTAAATGCACAAATGCACTGAGGTACAGTGATGAAAGTTGTGAACATTTTAATTCCATATTTACTGACTTTTGAGTAATTACCAGCACTGACATAATATTCTATTAATAACACTGTTTTGTATTTTGCTGGAAATGTTATAATGGTCATTCTATCAAGGAGAAAAAATTATTTAAAGCTGGTATACTGAACTACACTGAAAAGCATAATACTACTTTTGCAATGTTAAAGAAAACGCTTGAAACTGAGATTCAGTTTCTAGTTAGAAAATGCACACAAAAATACATCATAAATAAAGTTTCTATATGAACTACAAAGTGACAGCTGAGAAGCAGATGAACCATCCCTTTGTTTCAGTGTACAGAATAAACATAATCATCATCCACAAAATGTTCTTCAACTCATGGCATTTCATATTCCATAATCCAGAATATTTTTTCATGGGGGGGAGCAATACTGTAATCCTGGCACAAAAATATTTCTACTTAATCAAAGTAGCATGTACAAAGGTTACAGGACTAGGAAAATCTATCCCTCCTCCTAATAAAACTATATAAAAAAACTATAACAACGTTATAGATGTGGAAATTACTAAAAGCCTTTGATTAGATATATAGGCCTATACCGGGGTAGGCGAAGCTTTTTGGCTGGAGTGCCGAAAAAAACACTATGTCTACCTTGGAAGGTGCTGGAGTGCCAACATGCCGGAGCCCGGAGGGGCTGTTTGCAGCCTCCCGGCTGCAGCCAGCCCACAGAGCCCAGTCTGCTTGCAGCAGAGCTTGCAGCCTCCCAGCCGCTTGCTGGGAGCAGCCTGGGGTCCGGCGCTGGCCGG